TCCAATTGATTTGAATAGTGTTTCCAATTTCAGGCTAAGAGACTCTGTTATCTCATATGAGCCCGTCGTAAAGAGTTTAGGATTGCACATTCTATGTTCGCACATATTATCGCGGGAGATTCAAGCTGTAGAGGTATCTAAAGTGTTCCAAATTCAGTGTCAACTTAAAACGTTGGCTTTTATGACCTGGATCAAGGAAAAACTCCGATTGAATATTTTCTCTCTTTGATTATACGCACCCAACGTATTTTGATATAGTGCTTAGGATCTAGAAGAATTGCAGTTCAACCAAAATTCTTGTATTAGGTAATTTATAGCTTGTCCCGATTTGATCGCAAAACGCTATATTTGAAGAAATCGGAATGGCTTTGCATTGACAAAGGGATTTAACGATTTATAACGATGGTAACAGTGAAAACAATGTTGTCCACCCAGCAATTAGAATTGAATGCCAAGTATGTGGAGATAGATTTAAATAGGACGGATGCCCCCCGTGGCATTCATTAGAAGTCTCCACCCGCAGAATGGATGTGTGTAGTAAATCCTATGCGGGATCCGCTGTAAGAATTTTCAGTTTTTTATCCCCATTTGGTGAAAGAGGAAATTAATTTAAATTTTTTCAAGCGAAAAGCGAAATTTTTTCGTCCAGCAGATATGCGTATCAGCTTATTTCGTTTATTTCACTTATTCATTCAATTACTTGTTTATTTGTTTATTTTTTACTCTTTTATCTTTTTTCAACTACTGTTACTATATTTTTATTACTATTTTACTATTCCATCACTATGATGTTTAATTAGTTGTAAAATCGGATGATAAAATTCTCACTCTTATTTTTCTAATGTTTTGTAAATATTGTATTGTATTGTACTGTCGAATTGTAATAATGTTTTTCTTTTTTGATGGTGGCAAGGAAGACAGGACCATTTGATCCTGCTTAAATAAAGTTATGGAAATTTAAATATTAAAAAAATCTTCTTCTTGTTATTATCTTTTCTCTTCCATTTATTCGTCTTTCTCCCCATTTTCTTCTTGTTACTATCCCTTCTCTGCATTTACCTTCTTCTTCCTTTCTTTTTTCATTTTTCTCCTCTGCCTAGTTTTCTTCCTCTTCTTTTCTTTAACTTTTTCTCTCCTCTCTTTTTCCTCTCTTGGTCCGTGGTTTTCTTCTGTTTCCTCTCTTTTTCTTCTCCTTTTTCTTCTCTCTTTATTTTTCTCCTTCTCTATGTACCATGAGAATCGAAAACACTTATTCCTCTACCTCCTATCCTATTTTAAGAATTTACTTTTGAATACTTCAAAACTTTTCAAATTCATGGCGTTGCAAGTCACAAGAAACGCCTTCAATTTTTTGGATATGTGACGCGGACATCTAAAGAGGATGAATAGTTGTATCAAGGCGTTACAATCGACAAAACCATGGTCACCTCAATTGTTAGTGCATATACAACGCAGCTCCTTTGATCGGGAATAATTGACTCATTCAGTTCGAAGACGACCCAACTCCAAAAATTCAGAAATATAATGTCGTTTTACAACAGAAACATAATTTTTATATTCAGGTGTAACTTTTATTTTTTTATTCCACCAAAAAAGATAAAAACAAGCTATACCATTAGGTATACTGTCGTGCTAAGGAAGAACGCCGTATTCATACGTTACCAAATTTCTTACAAGAAAATTTGAATTTTCAGGACGATGTGTGATATTTTTCTACAAATTTTTCAGAAAATTTCCTCTGAGATCAGATTTAAATTAACTGAACATTTCAAGAAAACATATCCATCACTCTCCTCAAAAATGAACATTTTATTGGAGGAAATTTGGCACTCTCGAATAAGCAAACAGCATTTTTACTTAGCACGGTAGTATATCTCAGCCACGATTTGCATCTTCTTGTTCCCTATCATGATCCAAAAACATCAGAAAGACGAAACTCCAAAGGAAAATATAGTGCAAATAGGTAATCAACTCAAACATCGACTTTCCGAAGTCAATCTTTGATCGCATGTTTGTTAATTGTTTGTTGGTGCTTACGACGCGGCGAGTTCGTCTTAATCGTATTCCATTGTAGATAAAGCAAAAGCATATTAAGGGCCTCAAGAAAGTTAACAAACTCGGTAACTTGAAAAAAGTACCCACTTGCAGTCGTGACTGCTTATCTCCATTACGAGGAAAGAAAGTTGTCTTAAAACATGCAAAAACATAGTGCTCTAAATGAAAACTAATTAACCCTCTTTCATTCTTGTTCGGAACTTATTTTAGATTTACTGCTGACAGACTCGTGCGTTTATTTTTTCGCAGGCTTTCAGTCCAACAACAAAGGGATCAGTCTTAATAATTAAGGGGACCAAGGGGGGGGAAGTTCAAGTGTTACAGAACGCACTTCCCAAGTGGCATTTTTCAACGGAAAAATCGGGATATATTCGAATTTTATCGGCGATAAAATCGCTAGGATCATCCTCATCTGAGCGATTATCCTCGATCTTGTCGAATTAAGATCGCGATTTTATCGTCCGGCAGTTTGTACGGATCTTGCGGATGTTTCCTAATCTGTGCATCCTCCTGCGGGCTGATTATTGAATTTGATAGACAAAGCTATAGACAAAGAAGACACAGGGAGTAAGCGATAATTGGTTCCCATAGACCAAGAGAGAAATTGATGGACTAACTATAGGATCTCTCGTGGGTTGCCGTTAGTTAGTATTACCTACTTATTTTGTCTATTGCAACCACCCGCTCTCACTAACAGGATCCCTCCATATCCTTTTTGTCTTTTCAGTCTATATCTCTGTCTATAAATTTCAACAATCAGCCCGCGGGCGAGACAGACAGGGTGCCTCTTTTTGGAACCGAGATCGAGAGGGACTTGGTCGTTGGAGACAATGCTGTCATGACGCAGCGAGTGAGAGAGCTTATAATTTTATTCCTCTGATGATGATGATGATGATGATGATGATGATGATGATGACAAGCATACACTGCATGTTGGACCATAGTAGTCTTCATCAAATTCACTGTAAATTGTTTTGTAGCAGTGTTGACACTGTTCAGCATCTGTTTCACTGGAGATTTTTACGTAGCTGTGCAAGCATTCTTGATTCGATACCATCTGTTTCGCCTTTTCAATCGCGCTTTCGCATTTTTTGCAAAAGAAGTTTTTGAGACAACGTTCACAAAATTTTTTCTTGCATCGATGACATTCATGAGGCCAACTCCGTGTGCTGCATATTTTGAGCACTCGCTTGCACTCACTACAGCAGGGTACTTGTTTTTTCGAAGAACTTGATCTTGCACCCATTTTAAGCAAGTACTGCAAAAAATCCACACCCGCCCCTCTGAACTTTTAAACACATACAATTCAATTCAGGAAAAATTCAACAGAACAATAATAATTATTCTAGATATCGTATAAAAATCAGAAAAAACACGTGTGGATTGAATATTCGAAATGACCGATGTTGTAGTATTGACGTATCAATAAATACTATTTCGGTGTTACACGAAGTTTCTTTATCATTAATGTACATCTGTTTACCTGTTTTGATTAAACACCGTGATAATAGCAGAGTGTTCATTGCTGTTGTCATGTTTCTTTGGCTCCGCGTCGCGTCGTCGGTTTGAACTCATTAATCAATAGGGGGGTTTGGAGGACAAGGCGCATAAGTGCAGTTTTTGAAAAATTGAGTTGTTAACAATTTCAAGTAATACTATTGTGAATGTATATTCTGTGAAAAATTCGGTCCTAAATTCCAATTTCCAAGCATCAAAAAGTCGATTTGAACTTTCTTTCCGCCATAGGGATCTATGTAGTTTCGAAACTTCAAATACATATTTCTCGAAATAGCAAAAACTGCACTTATGCGTCTTCTCCTCCAAGCCCCTCAGTTATGTTTACATTTCTTTAAAATCAGATAAAAGTGAGTCATCGGAATGATTTTTGATATTTTCCCAAAGCTTGACGTAATAATTGATTCTTCCAACGGAGTTACTCGAATCAAGGTGCGATGAGAGATGAACGCAAATTGCAAGTGCACAGACATTTGAAAAAACTCTGATTTTTTCGCTGATTGGTTGATCGGAAATGTCATGCAATATACGAATCGAAGTGAAAAATTTATCGCACGCAAAAATCTAAGTTAGTTTTCCCTTGAAATCTACATAGAGTGGAATATCATGAAATGTCTCGCAATTTGGGTTAAAAGCAGCGCCTCTCTAGTTTTTACATTGAAGTGTTGGACAACAGTCATTTTTTAAACTAGCATACATGTCGTAAATAAACACAAATAAAAGAGAAAAAAGCGAAAAAAAGAAGAAAAAAAGGGGGGAAAACGGGAAACAAAGCTTATAGCTTTTCTCCCTTAGATTAGCTTATTAGCTGTTGTATTATTACACAACAGTGAGAACCCCGACTCAAAACTGTACGTCATTTTCAATCGGAAAATACAATGAAAATTTAAAAAAAAAATATCGATGAAACAAATTGAGACCCACAATGTTCTCGGGATATGTTGGGGGTGTTGGCCACCAACATATGCAGATCTCAGGATTTTTCATCGATATTTTTCAATTTTTATTGTATTTTCCGATTGAAAATCATTCAGTTTTGAGTCGGAACATCTCGGATTTTTAGTGTTGTGTTTTTAGCCTTGCTTTTCGTTTTCCTCCCTTGTTTTTTTTTTTTTTTTTTTTTTTTTTTTTTTTTTTTTTNTTTTTTTTTTTTTTGGTTACCATTGTCTCAGGCTACTCCGTAAAAATTGTTTAGCTATTTTTTCCTCACTACTTCAAATACCACACAAGTGGTAATCCTGCACTTCCAGTTAGCGCCCCGCCCCCTCCGTCCCTACTACGTACCAGCCCGAGGCAACCGTTGTTTGAAACCATCAAACTCGGGTCGCCTGGCCGGGAATCGAACCCGAGCCCTCCCGATCATTGAGTCAGCGCTAGAGGCCGTCTTATGTCTTAAATAAATCGTGAAGGGTCATTTGAAGTACAATAAATTCCCGACGAAAACTGTTTATTTTACAAGTTTATTTAAAAAAGATGTGTGTGAACCTTATTATTATATTTTTGGATACATCAGATCATACATTTGTACAGATTTGTAGTAGCGGCTCCGCTGGCACGCATTGTCTCGCTGTTTTGTTTGTTGACAAGATGAAGTGGCTCAGAATGTAGAATTTGTGGCGTCGAGATCCAGCTTATTCAGGAATAATTGATTTTGGAACGGGCTTTTCACATACTCTCGCCAAGAATGCTGAAAACAAGGGACATACTGGCATTAAAACATGATATTTATTATTGACAATTTGCAGTCCTAAATTTTTATAGAGATTTTAAGAGTATGGTTGAAATCAATCTGTTTTGGACTTTTAAAACTTCAATCTAAAATAATTATTCCTAAAATGACTGTTGACAAATGTAATTAAAGTGAAAAAAAAAACTTGATATCAATAATTTGTCATATTTCATATCCTCATTTTTACGTCATTTCTCATCATACAAATATCTGTCAGGAATGCCTAGCTGTGTTCTGCCGTGCTAAGGAAAAAGTCCGTATGAACATTCGAGAGAAGCCTCTTTCCCCCTGGTAAAATGATAAATTTTGAGGAGGGTTATGAAATTTTCCTCTGATAATTTATATCTGATATTCTGAAACATCGGAGGAAAAATATTCACAGATTTTCCTGAAAATTCATGTTTTATCACAGGTAATTTGGCAAAATCCAAAGGCTCATGAGGCATTCTTCCTTAGCACGGCAACATTTTAATACGCTTTTTATTTTAAGGCACCTAATACATCATTGAAAAAAGAAAGAATAGGCCAGTTAAAATATTGAGACACTCATTTAAAGAGCCGTTGTTATTTTCCAAAAAGCTGATCCATACTTGATAGTATCAACTGCAGAAGGTACATTTAAGATTAATTAATTATTCCTTTTGATAAACCAAGAGATTTTTTCCAACAACTTTTATTTATAATCGAATGAATTACTATTTTGAACAGTGGCGTGGCGTGAATGATCGACTATCTATTTCTCCATTTGAAGCTATGGTAAAGAATCGAGTATTAAGGTGTTCGTTGCGAACACCTTGTTCATCGATCCTTTTCCATAGGTTTAAATGACAGATCAATCGATATATCGCAAAGCAAGCCACACCACTGATTTTGAAACTCATGAGAGCCGTCCAATCGAAATCAAAAGACATAATCCTGTATTCGCTGTAAATTAAAAGAAGGAAAGTTTTGTGATGTAAATAAAAGATCATTATCGGAGTTTGGAATCGCACGTAAAAATGAAAAACACACAATATTCCCGGCAGAAAAAATTATCTTAGTTCCCACACAACTAGTTCACATAATTACAAAGCCTGGAATATTTTAAAAAAATAATTTAAATGAAGGAAAAACAGAGGTGTCAAATTCTGAGTATCCTCTTTGTAAACGGGTACAAATGGACAAACACATTGAATGCAGTAATTATATTATTAAGGTCCAAGTTAAGACGAAAACAGATCACGGTCAATATTTAGAGCACCACATGCACACAACTTTCACATTTAATTTAGGGAGGGAATAAAAGGTACAAATTAAATAAAAGAATGGGATCCGATTTTAAAAAACGATTAATTTCATTAAAAAGCATGTAAGATTCACAGTGATCAACAAAAAGAGGATTGTGCGTTGAATTTTTAGAAAATGAATGAGACCGTGTTTAACTTTCAGAAAATTCCCGCAAATGCGCTATTTTATGATGAAATTTACTGCAAACGCGCAATGTCATCGTAAGTAGGCTGAATCCCTGGTTGCTCATCACTGCAGCAGGGCCGGATTAAGGGCATGGCCACAGGGGCCGCGGCCCATGGCGGCAAATTTAGGAGGCGGAAAATTTTGCAATTTTTTTAATATAGGTATCAAAAAAAGAGAGAAAAAAATCGGATTTAGAAAATAAATTACAAACGAGAAAAGGTGACAGAATCTCTCATTTCCTGCGAGTAAAAGTATAGTAATTTTTAATTTGTCGTCTTTCGGTGATACAAGAGACAACACCTTTAATTAGCCGAGTTAAGAGAGAAACCAAACACGCAATTTAACCTGGAGCGGAGCGGCGCGGCGGTCGGCATGAAACGCATAGCGCCTACAAGACTTCACGAATACTTCATGCATTGTGTCAAACACAGTGCGGTCAGCAGCGGTCGGCGCGGCGTGAAGCGCATAGCGCCTACAAGACTGCATGAATACTTCACGCATTGCGTCAAACACAGTGCGTTCAGAGGCGGTCGGTGCGAAATGCACAGCGCCTATTTGAATGTAGGAATGCCTCAGGCATTGCGTCAAACACAGTGCGGTCAGTTTGTTCTTTTATAATTTTTTCGTTCATTTCTTATATTAAAGGAAGGCCTTGTTCACACAGAGATAGGTTCACGGAACTTAACTTTCACGCAAAGTTCCTTGGTCTTTTGTTGGTAATGTTGGCAGGGCTTCGCAAAAAATGTGTCCAACACGAGTAAACGCGTCTTATGCACCCCTCCCCGCTGCACGTTCACTTTATGGTTTTTATTGATGTTTCAAATCGAATGAGAAGGGGGCGGCAAAATACAGGGGCCCACGGGCGGCAAGTAGGTGAATCCGGCCCTGTACTGCAGAGGCCGAAGAACTTTCTGCACCTTTGTAGTGACCAACATATCACCAACATAAAAGAATGTTGAGACCGAGTGGTACCATATTGATACCATGCCAGGGTCAACAAAGTATCACATTTCAATCATCAATATGGTGCCAGCACGATCGTTTTAAGCAGAGTTGGTACAATTCTTTATCAATCTATTAGTCAATAAAATCGTTAATCTTGTGGCATATTCAAATATTTTCTCATTGTTACGATGACGTCAATGTGATTTTGAAACTTTTGAGGATTTCAGTTTCAAAAGTTTTAATGCTCACCATCATTCATTCATTATAGAATAGAATCAGTAATTTGATATGGAATCATCCGATTGATGATTAATTATTAATAAAGCACGTCTAAATAGAACTAAAGTTAAGAGTGCGTAAAAGATACAGTGTTCGAGTAAGGGCACACAAACAAGCTTTGATCAAAAACCACATGTACATATTAGGCATCTGTAGGTAGGTTTAATGCCAAAAAAAAACCATGCTTAAAAATCATAAACAAGGGACATTTAGCTACTTATGGAGCAAAGTTTACCATGCATTCGATACTACCGCGCGTGAAAAAATCATGATAGGGGAAAATGCAAAATAAAATTAAGAAATTCTTTCGGACCACGTTTGATGGAATCGTTTGCGTCTAGTGCGTCTACTGAAGAAGGAACATGATAGAATGACTCTGATTGGTTCAACACCAATAAGAAGTTCTTTGAATCATTCAATCTGAATGGTGCGTAGGGAAAGGGGGAAAAAAGGAAAAAATAAAAAGCGCCCAAGATGATACAGAGCTCAGCACTAAAAATTCGGCATTTGTTGAAAATAGAGAAAAGTTTCCTGCAAGAATTTTTTTCCACTTTCTTTTTACCTTTTTCGGCGAGATTTGACGATAGTAGAAAAATATTTGAGCTCTACCACCAAATAAAAATGTTGTCTCGAGGTTAATGTCTAACTTTGCTTTGGTTAATTTATTGCGTACGAGTAACATATATTTAAATGTAAACAGTTAAAAAAATAGCTCATGGCGTTGGCAGGAGCCAACAGGCAATGGAAGTCCCTCTAGAGCTAACTTCGGTTTTACCAGCAATCAAATGAGTTGGTGACAAAAAGAGTTCTTCCTTTCCAGTTGGCTCCCTCCCTTACCACAGTTAGCAGCCGCAGTAAAATCACGAAGAGAAAAAAACTTTTAGTTGGTTCGGTGCACTGAAGTTATTGGTTTTCGAATTCGAGCTCTTTTTTCATGGATCACCTTCATTGATTTTTGGTTTCAGCGACAGAATTTCAATCAAGGTAAAGAAAAGTGCAAGAAACATTGTTCATTGCTACCAACAACTTCAGTATCCCTTACGAATGAATCTCCAGGATTCAAAAAACTATAAAGTCTTTTCATCCGTGTAGGATTAGAGACGATTAGAGATCAGCAATTAGTATAGCAGCGTTTCTTTTTAGGTTTTATTTCATGAAAAACATTTGACTCGTTTAAATTCGTGCTAGGCACGTATTTCCACATCAGCGAAGAAAAAAACTTACTCTGGTGAAACAAATCAACTTGGAAGCTGATTACGGGTTTTGGAAGGTACGGAACAGGTCTTAGTTAATTAAATTAAAAAACTGTTTTAAGAGCCATGAACCTTTTGACGAAAGCTGGAAAAAATAGAATCGAATGATGAAGGAACAAAATCATGGATATGGTCGCAAAAAACTAGATGACAAAACACAAAAGATAATTTACGGTGGAATAGAGGGGGATGCAAATAGATCTACAGGAGCTGATAGGAGCTTACAGGTTTTACAGGCCCAACTCTACAAAATCAACCCTAGGTATACTGAAGGTGGTTGAGCAGCAAGCGCACACGTTTGAAGGGTTTGCCCATGTACCGACTACTGAAAAACTTTGTCAAACTTCTGCATGTTCACGAAGTGCAGTTCCATCCGGTGACCGAATGCAGTCACTGATGCAGGTTCAATCCTCAGCTCGAGTGAGTTCATTCCAAAGTTTATCGAGACTGTCTATAATTTTGGAACTTTGATCCTCCCCAACTTGAACTCAGGCTAGTCCATGAAATATGAGAATGGACGTTTAACTTGAATACGGACTATTCAACGGTGCAATGCTGTTGAAAACTTTCGATAAATAGCCATAATTCATATCAAGAAAAATGCTGTTCAAAATATTTTACTTAATTCATAAGAATCAGAAATTTAATCTTTTTACTGTGAATTTACGCCAAATTTTTTCCTCGGTCAGACAGGACGAAGATTTTATTAAAATACCAGTATATTTAACTTGTTAAATGGTCGTTCACAACGTTGGAGAGAGTAAAAAGTGCTTGCCGCATAAGACAAAACTCCTTTCAATCAAGTTATGCTGAGCGCCGAAGCTAGAATTTCTAAATAAATTACAAGTTTAAATTAAATAAAAACAAAATGTTTGTATACTTCAAATAGCATCAGTTCTACTTGAAGCAAAACTGCCAAAACTACTTTTTCAAAGAAGCGCATTTTACCTATGTACAAACTACGACCAAAGCTATGAGCTTATTGGACGCATCAAATTTAGCTTTTAGTTTTTAGTTTTAGTTTTTAGCTAAATACTGCCTACTGAATACCTTCCGACCCACCTATTCGTTCGAGTGATGATTGAGGTAAAATGATTAAGGTAGGTATGTAAATCGGTTGTGTCTTCAGATTTAGCGCAAATATACATTCCAAGTATTCCCTCATACTATTAACATGTACAGTTGTTTAAACAATAATGGCATGACTATTTGTGAGAATTCAAAATGACAGCCTCTGAGTAGGACGCTATGAATTCAACAGAACAGAGGCTAGGCCGCACAAGAAACCGTTAGAATTTAATCTGAGTGGATATAATATAAAGCCTCATTGCAGTCGTTAAAATTTATTTTTGAAAAATGCACTTAAAATTCTACAAATTTAGAAGTGTCTCGGGCTGATCGTATGATTTTTTAGACTTGTACAAGAGTTTTTTTCACAAGTTTTTTTTTTAAAAAAAAAATAAAAATTCAGCGTTTGAGAATTTTCGAAAAAAATAAACCATAAAATTTTACAAGGTCAAAATCACATTTTAAAATTTATCATGGATTTTTGACCTTATACAGTAATTTGTAAACCGTACTTTTTGGCATTATTCCATGACTCATAATTTGCCGCATCAGCAGTCTTCAATGGCTCATTTGGATTATTAATTTTTTTAATATAAACAGCGGCATCGACTTTTTCAAAAATTAATCAAAATTAATCAAATTTGAGCGATCTACTCAAGCGTTGCGCCAAAACTGAAGAAACAACCTTCAAAAGAAGGAAAAACCTCCAAATACTCATTCAAAATGGTACAAAATTAAAGTTGCTATCAGGCACGGAGGGTATGAATTTTCATGCTGATAGTCGGTTCTATGACCGAGAGAACTAAAAATCATGACGTCAAATCATAAAGAAGGAATCAAAATTAGGGATTCAAGAAGGGTTTACTACATAAGAGAGGAGGACTTGGAAAACCCAGTATTTAGGATGGTAATCATTCAGAGAGAACAAAAAGGGGCCATAATGCTACTAAAATCATTCAATGAAGTAGGTCAGAACAGCTCATCCGTTACCCAAGGTGCAAAGGAGTTTTTTGAGATTCCTTAAGAATAACTGATGTTGTTTATTTGGTTGTCTACTTACGAACATATGGGATCATGCCTTCATCATCTTCGGGGTCTATGCAGTCCTTGAAGATTTCATCGACTTCTTTCTCTTCTAATTTCTCACCTGGAGAATTGACGAGGGAAGATAAAAATCAGTAAACATGTATGAATGTCAAACGACTAATAACATTATAGGCGGATCCAGAATGTTGGCAACGCTGGTTTTTCTCCATTTAAACCTGTGCTGAACACCCTGGTAAAAATTGGCGATAAGAGCTGCGTTTCAAAATACCATAGGAATTCTTATAGCCGGCTATAAAGAAGGCTACAGAAAATCATATAGCTGGCTGTAGATGTAGAATGCGGAGAAAATCATATGGCCGGGCTATACGAAGCGATAAAAAATTATGCAGCCGGGCTATAGTTCCTATCGCCGGGCTGTTGCTTTTTTGCCATCGATTATAAAAGGCTCTAAGAAATTGTGTAGAGATTCGTGTGCTTTGGAAATCATTAAGTTTGATACGGAACCACCTAAATATTTACAAAACACACATTATATTTTCCTTTAATACATATTTGTTTTCATCAATTAAAATGAGAATAATCCATACAAGATGTGCAAACATTTCAAAATCGTGAGTTGAATAACGCTGACTCTGCCAGAGCGGAGTGGCGACGCGACGCACTGGCGCCTACAAACATAACAGGGATACTTCACGGATTGCGCAACGCGTGAAGTATCCCTGTTAGGTTTGTAGGCGCTAATGCGCGTTTCGCGCTGGCTGTCTGCCTGCCGCGCCGCAGCGTGCCACGGCGCTCGAAGCAACTATTTCACCCCAGAGGTATTGCACAGCATCATTCAAAACTGAAGGCGCTCTAATATATTAGGAATGGCAGGCATCCATCAAAAGTACGGAGCTTTCCTCGCAAAATAAATCGAGATACTACGGCCCAAAAAGAGAGCAGTATTCCAAAAACTCACCAAGTCCCAACATCCGTAATTAGTAACGCTTAGCATACACTTTATCGCCTGGCTGTTGCTTAATCGTCATCAGCTATAAAAGGCTATAAGAAATGGTGCAGCCGGCTATAGAAGCTATTGGAAATCTTACAGCCGGCTGTAGGCCTATGGTATTTTGGAACACAGATTCTACTGCCAATTTTTACCAGGGCAATCGATTCTCGTCGGAACTTCTGGCTGGCCGCTCCGAAAATCGATATTAAAATGTCAATTCCTGGATCCGCCAATGACTGATAATAACGAAAAATTTAGCAAATAGTAAGTCAGAGGAATAAAGTATGCTCACATGGTTTAAGGAGGTAAAATCTCAAAAAGGTAATTTTTGTAAAATATCAAAATACGGCTTTTTCCTTGATGTGATATACGTATTTAAACGTCTGGACCACTCAAATTACACTAATTGGACTGCATTTTGCAATTTGGAACTATAAATTCTGGCTCATCTGGAAAAACACTCATGTGCATAGGGAAACTAATCGCCCATACGTCGTTTTGAAACCAGGCTAGAATTTATAGTTCCAAATTGCAAAATGTTGTCCAATTAGAAGAAGAATGCCGATTCTATGACTTTCCTTTCGTGACTAAAGTTGTATAAAATTCAAACAAAGGGCCCTCAGCTACAGGCTCACAAAACATTCAGGGTTGTATATTTTAGGTAGTTTTTTTCAAAGAAAATACTCCCTTTGTCACATCGAATCACACTTTATTACACCGAAAAAGCAACTCCTTGTAAGCCTTAACTTGTCAAAGGTTAGTGAGAAAAAAGTACATTTATCTCGAAAATCGATGTAAGATCAGAATCGTCACTTACCAAGGGTCAATAGAATGTGATGTAATTCAGCGTATGACATAAGTCCGTTTTCTGCCTTGTCGTATAATTTCAAACATTCAATAAAATCTTCGTACACTCCTTGGTCCTTGTCTTTCTTGACTTGGCTGTAGATTGGCAGGAATTCTTCTAATGAGATTGTCTTTTCACCTGCAATCAAATTCATGAAAGTTAATGCAACACGAAAAAGATTGCACTAGAAGTTAACAGAGTAAAAACTAAATTGGAATAAAGGGTCAGTTGCGCTGGTCTCAGAATTGTATTTTGATGCTTGATTCTTGTAGTAGTAAAGCCTGTCCGAACATCAACTCTCTTCGTTCAATATTAAACGAGATATCGCGCTTTGAAAAATTCGATTTATTACGTCATCTGCCGTGGAAGTGACACCCTTGGTTGCTCAGAACCTGCTTTAATCCAAGTTTCACGTTGAGTAACCAGAGCAAATGTGTGTGTCGTTGACTGATAAAAGCAAGGTGGAAGAAACCAAGGGTATCACTACCGCGGTGGATGACGGCATGAACCGAATTTTTCAAAGCGCGATATCTCGGCTAATATTGAACGTAGAGTGTTGCTGTTTGGACAGATCTCATTATTTTTAGCTAATCTACAAGAGGCTAGCATCAAATCATGATTCTGTGACCACTGCAACTGACCCACTAAAAATTATGAGTGTCTAAATGAATACGTGCTCAAAAAGGCTGGTTTTAAACTCATTAAGTCAATCAGAACGTGTTTAAAAACGTTCAGCTGTTTTCGTTTATATTTGCATGTCTGCGCTCTGTGCCCATATTTATACAATGTGAACATGTCCATTTTTGATGGACCCCAGATTCCGCAAGAATTTCAGGGCTCATCAGAAAATCGACGAGTCAATTTTCTCAACGATTTACTATGAATATTACAAGCAAAAAGATAGACATTTTAGAATGGATTCGCATGGTTCATGGTGTACCCATCTGATATAAGCAATCATTGATTTTTGAGATTTTCTGCGAGTTTACACTCCTCGTTGGATAATATTCTTCTGGAAAATTCATTGAATCTATGAAAGAAGAGGTAATATTCTGAGACACTGGAGTCAAAATTTGTGATTATGTGGCTTCGTAATAACGCCATAGGGGAGAAATCCGAGAGCTTTGTGGGTAAAAGGGGTAGTGATGAAATCGTTTAAACTCACCCTTCTTCTTGGTTCCTCCCAATTTCTCAATGAAACCCTCAGTTGGGTTAAGGTTGAGCGCCCTCAGGAGAGCTCCCAACATGGTGCCGTCAATTGCACCAATACCGTCTACGTCATAGATTTCGAACGCGAATTTTACCTCTGTAAAAATTAAAAACCAAGTGATTAAATTAAATGCATGTGTGAATAAAAATTAACTGAATGAGAGAAGAACAGAAAATCCATGTGCTTGGAAGTTTTTGCAGAGAAAGTGCATGCCACACATTGAAAAAAAAAAACACATTGGATCTAGAATCCAGACTCTTAAAAACATCGAGAAGAAAAAAAAACTCTTAATTAAATCAGATTTAAGCTTAAATCAAGAACCAAGCCGCTTAATTTGAACGGATTTCCTTTTGATTTAAGCTCAATCTGATTGGTCAAGAGTCCTTTTTCTTGTCAATGTTTTCAAGAGTCTGGACTCTAGATCCAATCTATTTTTTTTCCAGTGCACCGCAAGGGGGGTTATGGGACACGCGAGCATGACGTGAAATGGAAGGCGGCGCCTGGAATGATACAACTATTCGCACTTGATGGCAGTGCAAATAGTATCAGCAAAGATTGAAGGCGCGCTGGGTTTCCAGTTGCTCCTATTGTGACGACGCGACGTGTGCTTCTTGCTAATTGATTGCAAGGCGTTGAACCCGTGAATTCGTGATTCCCGCAAAAGGCGGAAGCCTGTTTCTGCCGTGCTCAGGAAGAACGTCGTATGAACATTCGGACGTTGCCCAATTTCCCACGGTAACATTTTTATTTTGGAGGGGAATTTCTAAATATTTTTCTTTAACATTTTAAGATGTGGATTCGAATACTGGATACTACTAATTTTTACCCCGAACAACCATCTACGGGCCTCTCTGTTTTCAAAGCTTATACAATCAGCGAGAAAAAGGATTAAGCCGATGACCTTAATTCAGCAATACAATCCATCCGAACTAAATATGTGGCAATATAACTAATTGGACGTATTTGTATCAAACGGAACTGTGTGCATCTAGACATGAATCCTGAGACCCATAAGAATGCATGCATAGCAGGGCTCACGTCATAATGCACATAGTTTCGTTTGACAGAAATATGTCCAATTCTAACTTTCGATAAGCGATCCCGTCAAACCTGCTACCCTAAAATTTGACACCATAAAATACGGATTTGGAGCTTCTGAGAGAAGACAGCCCCAAAAATACATAAGGTAAGAACGACAAAAGTACAATACGTGTGCGAAAGTAGTTTTAAGTAATATTTAAACAATAGAAAAGTTCTTCCGGCAGGACTTAGCAAGTTTTTGATCCCTCCCTCTCCCTTGATGCTTGAAATCCTCTTTTCGACACCAATTTCAAGCAGGGCAGCAACGACAGCAACTACCAAGATCATTATGACTAGAATTTATTTTTCCATAATTGTCTCAATACTACTTCTCTGTTTATATAATTATTCAGAATATTTTTTTGCAAAATATTATAAATAAAAATAATTTTCTGAATATAAAAGTTCGTGAAATTGATTTGCGTGAAATTTTATGAGATCCATTCAGAAGGTCAAAAAACGCCTAGAAACAGCGATTCGCGATTTTGGCATTTTCCACATCAGGCCTAAACATTAGACATTCACTCGTTGCTCGTAAAAAATGAACTGTAACCCCTCTTTTCACATATATTCTTTGTTTCATTTTAGACTTTCAGTTTTTGGCAGGAGAAAATTTACGGAAAGTGAAACTAAAAACATTCTTAATTCAATTTTTTCGAAAATTTGGGTTGGTTCCTCCCTGAAACTCGGTCCAATGAATAATTCCGAAAAAACACGAAAAATAAATTTCAAATTTTATGAAATTCATTCGAGCCTTTTGAAATTTCACTTTCCATCTTGATTCAAGCCTCATAAAAATATTGTTATTATCTGGTGACTCGGCACCGATGGGGAGCAGAGATTCCGGCCGTGTCTTAAAAATAGTCGGTCGAGTCTTTTAAGGCGTAACGTCGGCCGTTGGTCGGTCGGACGGAAAAACGAAGATCTATTTCAAGTTGGTCTGTGGCGGGCGCATCTACACGTCATCCGCGAACGTCCCCCCCNNNNCTCTCCACACCCCCATCGTCGCGCGTTCACCCGTTGGCAAACGGTTCGGATTCCGGAGGGACCCTGGTCCCGAACTTTCGTCTCTTGTTACAGCGTAGGTGTCACGTCGCTTATCTTTTCATCTGGTTTTCTTTTCATCAATATTTTTGAACATCACTTTTCTCGTCAGCCTATTTTCTATGTATATAGTGCAAAATTCAGAACCTAGTGAGCGCCATCAGCGGGCTGATCGTTAAAATTGATAGACAAAGCGATAGAAAAAGAAGACATAGGGAGTATGGAGCTATCTTATTGGTTGAAATGGGTGGTTCCTATAGACAAAGGGAGAAAATGATGGACTAACTATATCGACGGTGAAACTGCTACACTGAAAAAAAAACACATTGGATCTAGAGTCCAGACTTTTAAAAACATCGACAGGAAAAAGTACTCTTGATTCAATCAGAATCTAGCTTAAATCAAGAACCAAGCCTCTCAATTTAAACGGATTTCGTTTTGATTCAAGCGAAAATCCGATTGAATCAAGAGTATTTTTTCTTGCCAATGTTTTCAAGAGTCTGGAATCTAGATCCGATGTGTTTTTTTTTTTTTTTTTTTTTTTTTTTTTTTTTTTTTTTTTTTTTTTTTTTTTNTTTTTTTTTTTTTTTTTTCCAGTGCAATATTTTTGAACATCACTTTTTTCATCAGCACGTTTTCTACGTAAATATTGCAGAATTCAGAACCTGAGAAGCGCCACCAGCGGGCTGATCGTTGAAATTGATAGACAAAGCTATAGACAAAGAAGACATAGGGAGTATGAAGCGATCTTATTGGTTGAAATGGGTGGTTCCTATAGACAAAGGGAGAAAATGATGGACTAACTCTATCGACGGTGAAACTACTAGACCACGTGTCTCGTTTGCGGTGTTTAAAAATCTCCGCTCCTATTTTATTTTTTAGAAGGAGAACAAATGAATAAAATTTCTTGAAAGTTTTAGAGTTTTCTTCGCACAGAGAAGAAAAAACAGGGAAGTTTTTGAGAATTAACTTTGAGTAGTTTTCCATTTGAAAAATAGTATGACAGGAAGTCTACAGTGTCGCAATATGTCGCATACGATACGTGGCCTGGCACTTTCACCGTCCATATAGTCTCTCGTGGGCTTGATTCCGTTAATTACTCTATTGCCTTCCTCCTTTGTCCATTCGAACCACCCGCTTCCACCAATAGGATCCCTATACATCATTTGGTCTTGTTTGTCTATAGTTTTGTCTATAAATTTCAACAATCAGTCCGCTGGTGTTGCTAAATTTGTGCAAATCTTTTCATTGTTAACAAGAATCCGTTGTCCTAAGAGAAGCGATTCATGTCAATGAAATGTGAAGAAAATTTTCTAATAAAAATTTCACGAACGGAGGGCATTTAGGTTATTTTAAGGTAAAATTAAGATCACGCACACTTTTAATAACCACTTATGGAGCTTATTAGGTTTTGAATCTCCACTCTCTATGAATCGATGCACAGTGGATCGAGTCAATAGGAAAGGTCGGACAAAATTTGAAAACTTTAAACGCTTATAACTCCGTTTATACAAAACTTTGAGGTTCTAAAAGTGGTTCCATCTGTTTTCTCGTGAAGTTTTCTACTATGAGCACCCCATGAAATTTAAATTGTAACGAAATAAACATCAAAATTTGCAGTTTTAGTCAAAAATGTCGTGTCCAACCTTTCTGATTGACTCGATCCACGGTGAGTCGGTGAAACTGCAAAAAGCGTACCTCGCTCGAGGTGTTTCAAAACCTCCGCTCCTAATTTATTTTTTTAAAGAAGACCAAACCAACATTATGGCTTGAAGTGTCATCAATATGGCATTAAGGCATCAAGTGTCTACATATTGAAGTGTTGGGACGGAAGGTGCACTGAAGGTGTTCGGACGTTGGGTCCCATGGTGACCCTAGCTCAGAAAAAAAATGGCGGCAACTCAGGGTGGGAGGGGGTTATCGACCTCGCCGTCGTGGAGGTTTAGGTTGAAAATATTTTTCTTGTATGTTTATCGGAATGCACAATATCGGTTTAAAAACTGAGTAAATACACCTAACTGTTTAATTTGAGTTAGGCTCATGGTAAAGGGAGAAATTGAAAACTCATGCTCTGTCATTTTGTATCTTGTACATGCAACGTCAGCCATTTTTTCCCTGAGAACAGCTTCTCGTGGATTCTCAAGTGACCATATGCTACCGTTAATTGTACTCTACACTCTGCCATCTTTATTTTGATAAAATTTATGTCTTTTTGAAGGTCAACACTCACATTCGCTGACTGATGACTGATTGCGGAAAAGTTGAGTGACTTGTTCAGAAGACAACGCTTGCTATGACAAACTTGTTTTTGGAAAAGACTCGATCTGACATCCATTAGTCTTTATAGGGTCATTACGATACTCAACGAATCGCTCAACCAATCATTGTTGAGCTCAAAATAATGTTGATCTTAGAACTTAACGTTTATCTTCCTTGATTACATTACTTAAGCTAGAAGCTCCGGGTCTGAATCATAATGAATTGTCACCGTAAGGGGGATTGAAACTAGCCACGATAATTTGAAAAAGTAGGTAATTACTCACTTGCGACATCCTCGTCTGAAAGATCGGCCTAGAAACAAACGAAAAAGAAAATTTTTATAATATCGTCGGCATGAGAACAATAAAATAATTAATATCAGGTAATGGATTCCTTCGCATATTTTTTTTTCTTAAGTACGACTCGTTGTTAAAGCCGCGTGATTTACAATATCTCTAAAGTCCCTTAACATGTAGTTCATAGGTAAAATTTAAGATTCTTAAGTTTGGAGAAGATTAGGTCTATCATGCTGCCCTTGATTACCTGAAGGGTAAAGAATATTTGGACTGCTTTTTGCAATTTGGAACTATAAATTCTAGCCCGGTTAAAAAACAACGTATGTCCTATTAGTTTCCCTGTGCACATAAGTGTTTTTTTAGAAAAGCCAGAATTTATAGTCCCAAATTGCAAAATGCAGTCCATTTGTAGAGGAAGTAAAGTAGAATTCCTCGGAGGAAGAAGTTTCAATACTCCTTCCTACAGATTTGTTTCAGCATGTCTCTCCTTGCCATCGAGACACAAATTGAAAGTCAAACCCCCTCTCGAAATGTCAAAATTTATTAGAAAATTTGTGCTTTGGAGGAGTGCAATTTGATCCAACAAATAATGGAAAAGTTCAGAAAAATGTATTTTTTATGAGCTTTCAAATGTTTGGTACAACTTAATAACCCTACAAAATACATAATTTAGAAAAGAAGTGGCATCAAAGCTCACAGACGATAATTTATGACATCCTTGGACTCCTCACCATAAGAATTTTACAAACATCTTTATTACTAAAGGAAACTGTTAGCGTCATTTCTTATTATTGGTTTTGTTCAAGCAATTTTTTTCCCTACATTTTGGAGGTTTATAACCGCATTACACGCAAAGGAGACACCTTAAGGATATGTCACGTGTTACGCAACTTTTCTTCTAAATTTGTCCAGAGACAATAGTTGTCCAACTTTTAAACGCGACAGGATACTGCTGTAGCTCTTTTCTAATGAAAGTAAGTTAGTACAGTTACTTCTCAGTAAGAAAAATTTCTCATCGTCACATTGCAGGCGCAAACTCCGAATGGAAGAAAAAGACGGAGTCACTTTTTATTCTACTTGAAGAGCGAGATAAATCAACAATTCGTCTGTATTAAGGAAACTCATACTAAAGATATGAACAGTAATATAAAAGTATCTACTCCGCGCAAATATTGCACAGAAAACTTGTCATTAATCTGATCGCAAATAACTAGAAATGAAACGTTAAGATTTTCGGGTCAATATATTGTTGCAGAGAAGCCTCTTAAATCATGATATTTCAAAGGAAGCAGATATTTAAAGAAGACACCCATAGAAGGCTCTTTTGTTTTGAATTTTCAATGCCAATCGTTCCCAGGTTTCTGGCGGCAGTGCTTTAATTTCAAACTCGTGCTTTAGAAAATCATGGAATTAGGTATAGATTGATTTTTTTTTCATCCAAGGCACCTTCCAAATACAGCGAGCTTGATGTAGTAAACCTCTTAAGAAATATAATTAAATATAAAATGGAAATTTAAATGTTAGACTAGATTAGAGATGGAACACCAGCCCTATCTCTACAATCATAAGTCGAACTTTTTATCGATAAATTATTTTTTCAAAAAAAATTGGACTCCATTTTTCTATCAACCGTTGCAAATACTTAACATAATCACACTGTCAGGCAATCGGACTTGGAATTTTCAGGAACTCACCATTTTGCAGAGTAAATTAACTTAACCACTAGAACTTGTAAATGACACGGTATGGTGCTATGAGAGAGACTGAGGTTCTGAGCGGAGTCGGAGACTAAGGAGCCAAGTCTATTATTAGCCGATTGCGAACTTCGTAAACTAGGTTCGTCGAAGCCCCGAAAGACAAATTTGGACCGCTCCGCGCACCTCCTCACTGGCGACCAACTTTGACCCACATCCAGCCTATTATTCCCTTCGGATCACCACGGATTTTTGACGGGCGCGTCCAAACGAATAGGTGTCTGCGAATTTTCCCCTCGTCAAATTTCCGGCATACTTGCCAGATAGTGCTGAAAAATCGGCACTTTCTCTATTTGAACACGCGTAACATTTCTTCGTGTAATTGCACAATCTGGCAACTTTGGATGGATCTGCCACGTTGCCGGTGTGGTTGAATGCTGAAACGCCTCCATGTAGCTGAATAGAAAATTATTCCAATACGATGATGAATATGATGATTGAGATGATTAATTGGATTGCATTTTGCAAAAAGGAACCAAAGACATTGCTAAGATTGTGCACGTTCATTTTTTGCAATAAAATTACTGAAATCACGAAAAAATATGAAATATTCATGGTACTTTTCGTCTTAAATTTACAGTTTTTAGCGAGTAAAATAGGAACTATTAATGGATGATCAGGTTTTTCTTTCAAGACAAAAGAATTTGCACAATATTAGCAACATTGCAATTCTTCTGGTTCCTTTTTGCAAAATGCAATCCGATTATGATTAATTTAATTTCTAATAATATGATTGTTATACTATTTTTGAAATTTCTGATCCATGCACTTTTTTTCTCAGTTGCAGTTTTAATTGATTCCCTGATAATATTCCCTTATTTATAAGTGTTACTAAATTTTGATGTTTAAATTATTTGTTTGCCTTTACATTTTTGTATTTTGTGCTGATTTTAATTGAAGGATTTATCAATTTTTACGTTTATAAGACTTTAAAAATTAGAATCATTCTCCATCTAGAGATTATTAGCCTTGTGGTTGTTTTTATTATCGCTCATTTCAGCCTGATTGTTTCAGTGGCGAGGCGTGAATGATCGATTATCGATATTTCCTCATTTGAAGCTAAGGTAAAAAATCGATTATTAAGGGGTTCGCTGCGAACACCCTGTTCATCGATCCTTTTTCATGGGTTTAAATGACAGATCAATCAATACATCGCAAAGCACTGGATTGTTTAGATTTATGTCGGCATGAGAAGAATCGATATCACGGCACAGATAGGGCTGTGTCTTGTCTTATCTTGCCGACAAAGCCAGTTAAAGTTTCAGCAATCGGCGTGGGCTGATTGTTGAAATCAGTAGACAAAAAGATAGACAAAGAAGACAAAAAGTAAATGGAGGGATCCTATTGGTAGAGGCGAGTGGTCAATGGACAAAGGAGGTAACGATCATTTTCCCTCTTACAATTAGTATAGCAGCCGCCCGTTTCAACCAATCGGATCTCTCCATGTTCCCTATCTTTGTCACCATCTTTGTATATAGCTTTGTCTATCAATTTCAATAATTGGCCAGCTGGAGCTCCACAACACAACCGTCAATGCCTCCTATCGAACCAGAATCCTTCGGGTATCGAGCACCTAAACATTTGAGGGGCTTGGACGACAAGTCGCATAAGGGCAGTTGTTGCTGTTTCGAGAAATACGTGTTTAAAATTTCGAAATTACATGGATCCTTATGGCGGAAAGAAAATTCAAACTGACGTTTTAACTTTATGATGCTTAAAAAATGGAATTTGGGAGCCAATTATTCTCAGAATATCGACGGTGTCAGTCGGCAATCACATAACTCGGTTTGCGACGTCGCAAACTTCCTCTCATACATCATTTTTCTGGTAAAAATGGGCGATAGGAGCTACGTTTCAAAATACCATAGGAGTTCTTACAGCCAACTAAATACGGCTATTGAAAATCATATAGCTGGCTGTAGAAAGCGGAGCAAATCATATAGCCGGGTTAAACGAAGCTTTAAAAAAGTATAAAGTCGGGCTATAGTTCCTATCGCCGGGCTTTACACTTTATCGCCATTGGCTATAAAAGGCTATGAGAAATTGTGTAGAAATTCGTGTGCTTTGGAAATCATTAAGTTTGATACGGAACTACCTTGATATTTACAAAACACTTATTATATTTTCCTTTAAAACATGTTTTTTTTCATCAATTAAAATGAGAATAATCCATACAGAGTGTGCAAACTTTTCAAAATCATGAGTTAAAAAACGCTAACTCCGCGAGATTAAATATTAGAGCCTGACACAAAGCGGAGCGGCGACGCACTGGCGCCTACAAACCTAACAGGGATACTTCACGCATTGCGCAATGATTGAAGTATCCCCTTAGGTTTGTAGGCGCTAATGCGTGTTACGCGCTGGCCGCGTCGCAGCGTGCCGCGGCGCCTCGAGAAACTATTTCTCAACAGAGATGTTGCACAGCGTCATAAAATATTGAAAGAGCACAAACATATTAAGAATGACAGGCATCCTTCAAAAGGACGGAGCTTTCCTCGCAAAATAAATCAAGATACTACGGCACAAAAAGAGAGCGGTAGTCCTAAAACTAACTGAGTCCTAGTATCCGTATTTAGTAACGTTTAGCATAAACTTTATCGTCTGGCTGTTGCTTAATCGCCATCGGCTATAAAAGGCCATAAGAAATTGTACAGCCGGCTACAGAAGCTATTGGAAATCTTACAGCCGGCTTCATTAAATTTGACATGGAATGATATTTACAAAACACACATTATATTTTCCTTAAATACATATCGACGGTGAAACTACCAAACCACGTATCTCGTTTGCGGTGTTTAAAAATCTACGCTCACATTTTATTTTTTTGAAGTAGACCAAATCAATATCATTCCTTGAAATTTTCACGGAATTTTCTCCGCACAAAGAAGAAAAACCACAGAAATTTTCAAGACTGGATGTTAAGTAGTTTTTCATTTAAAAAATAAGGTATGACAGGAAGTCTGCGACGTCGCAAACCGAGATACGTGGTTTGGTAGTTTCACCGTCGATATCTTTTATCTCATCAATTTAAATGAGAACAATCCATACAGAGTGTGCAAACATTTCAAAAACATGAGTTGAAAAACGCTGACTCCGCGAGTTTCAATATTAAAGCTGAACAGAGCGGAGCAGCGTGCTGCCAGCGCGACACGCGCACTGGCGCCTACAAACCTAACAGGATACTTCACGTATTGCGCAATGATTGAAGTATCCCCTTAGGTTTGTAGGCGCTAATGCGTGTTACGCGCTGGCCGCGTCGCAGCGTGCCGCGGTGCCTCGAGAAACTATTTCTCAACAGAGGTGTTGCACAGCGTCATAAAATATTGAAGGAGCTCAAACATATTAAGAATGACAGGTATCCTTCAAAAGTACGGAGCTTTCCTCGCAAAATAAATCAAGATATTACGGCACAAAAAGAGAGCGGTAGTCCAAAAACTAACTAAGTCCCAGTATCCCTATTTAGTAACGTTTAGCAAAAATTTCATCGTCTGGCTGTTGCTTAATCGCCATCGGCTATAAAAGGCTATAAGAAATTGTACAGCCGGCTACAGAAGCTATTGGAAACCTTACAGCCGGCTTTAGATCTAGGGTATTTTGGAACACAGATTCTGCTGCCAATTTTTACCGGGGTTTCTAAACTGAAAACTACTCGACGGCAATTCTTTAAAACTGTCGTGATTTTTCTTCTCTGTGCGAAGAAAATTCTGCAAAAATTTCAAGGTATGACGTCAGTTTGTTCTCCTTAAAAAAATTACACAGAGGCGGAGATTTTCAGACTCCACAAACGAGTTATGTGATTGCCGACTGACACCGTCGATATGCATTAAGACTACTTTTGTTTTAAATCATTAATACATCAATTTTTAAATTACTGCACTTATGCGACTTGTCCTCAAAGCCCCTCATTTCTAATTCAATCCCATTCCTCCACCTGATCATTGGACGCCCTGTACGCCTTCCTTCCACACCTTTCGTGAGGACCCAGAAAAGCTCTTTCGACCCGTTGCGGATTCTTTCATTCCGCGAGTGAATGATTCGCCTTCGATAAGATGTGTATGCAACCCCACTGCGGCTGAGTTAGAATAGTTATCGCTTTGAGCGTTGCAGGAAACACATTGAAGGAAGTTCGGTATGCAGACTATTGTGCGCACGCAACGGAATCCCTTGACTTTGATAGGTTTTCTGTAACAGGTAGTTGATGAAGACTCCAAAAATTTCTTTACTGAAGAAGAAAAATTCCGGACGGAATGACAAAGTAGGTACATGTTAGTGGGTACTTTCGATACAGGAGACGAATGTTATTTCCTTCCCCGGAGTGGAAGGTTGGAGTGGAAGTAGGCGGCAAATCAGTATGAAAACCATGATACAACTCGCAATTCATTCTGAATGGTGCGTTGCTGCGTCAGCGATGAGATCAAAGCTATTTACAACTCGTGTTCGTACCTGTTTTTGGCCTATATTCCTCCTTAAAATTTTTAACTTTTTTAAGAAGTGCAGTTTTACATTCTTAGGTGACAACTTATTTACTTGTTTCCGCAATTTCTTTTCAAACTCTTCGGTGCAATTCTTCACTGGCAAAATTAACGGAGTCACTTTACGTCAAATCCTCCGATGTAAGTCTCTTTTACAGGGGTGACAATTTACTCGCAATAGCTTCTGCTTCTTGTTTTCATTTAACTTTCGAAAGACTCTTCATTTGAATATTTTTTCCTGCACTCTACATGAACCGTTTCATCAATTTCGTCCAGCCATTCTTCAAACTTATTATCTCTGCTCTCTTTCTACAGTTTCTTTCGAATCAAATGCTGAATCATCGTTTCTAATCTCACTGAGTTCACACATAGTGCGGTCGCTGTTCGGCGCAACACGCATTTTAGCGCCTACGAGAGAGCATGAATACTTCACGCATTGCACGAAACGCACACCGCGGCCGTTGCGCGATGGTCAGCGCGGAGTGAATTTTAGCGCCTACAAGAGTGCGGGAATACTTCACGCATTGCGCCAAACAGCGCGGTCGCTGGTCGGCGAGAAACGCATATGGACAATTCTACGAAAACTGTCTAATTTGACCTCCAAAAAACTATAAATTCAACTTGATTATTTTAGATCGGGGGTTTTTTCTCCTAGACAAGTATAGTATCAGGTTTATAATTTTATAAGGGTACCTTTTTTTATCAGGCATCTTTCCCCCTTCTTGTCACACACAAAATATCCTATGCGGTGGGACGATCATAACAAAAGGCAAACGGCGGGTGTACTCAACAGCAACCAAGCACAATTGGTGGTAAGAACTATAGAGTGGACACACAGATTTTTCAGAATATCACACGCTTCAAAAATAAAAAACGTGACGGTCGTGACACAAAAAAAAGTTCAATTGAGTTAATTTCCGTTTTAAATCCTCCGGCAGTGACTGCTTCACGAACATATATTCTGGTGAATACTTCACTCAAAGGAATGGAACCGGTTTTTTTTTTTTTTTTTGGGGGGGGGGCTTTTTTTTATCCAACGATTTTGACTGTTCCTAGCAGCCGTTTTGACGAACAAAAATATTTGTGACGGTCGTGACGTAGAAACTTCATGACAGCATATTTTCGAAATATTTCGGATGGAAGACGCATTTTTATTTTAAAAAAAAAAAGGAGAAAAGGAAGGGAAAACTAATTAAGAGCAGATAGGTGTTGATATTTAGATCTCTTCAAGTTGAACTGGCGCATAAATCATGGCAATTGTTCCGGCAAACGAAAATTCCAGAAAATTGGCAACACTGACATGCAGAACCGGTGCGCAATGGAGGTTATTTTTCTCTGAATTTTCCTGACTCGGAGCGGAATTCCCTGATTTTTTTTCTGACTTTCCGGGTTGTTTTCAATATTCCTGACTTATGCGGGTTTTCCTTGGCCCTTGCAACCTTCTAAAACCCTGAATGGCAAAGAAACCTTGTTTAATAAATACCAAAAATGGGACTTGTCTGTGATGATATTTTTGACAGGCTGTGATAACGTAGCCAGGCAGAGAAAATGGTGTTTGCTGATTGGCTGAGCTCAGCTTCAGGCATGGCCTCGCTATGTCAACTTTTCGGCTTTTTGTTGATCGGATTTTGATTAGCTTTTTCTCTCCTTAGAAATACTGATGGGAATTTCGTAAGCTTTTTGTTTTTTTCACAAAAATTTACAAACGAATAGCTTTACAACAACCCAGCGAAAATTCCTCGCCACAGTCTCATTGCCTTTTTGTATGGCAAAATTTGTTTTCATTTAAAAGAAAGAAGAAGTTCTGATTCCTCTGGATATTTTAGAAGTGTTTCAAGATATTATATTTGATGATCATTTTACTTGATATCATGTGCAGAATTGTTTACAGACCAGGGATTTTTTTCTGATGAGGCTTTATGCAGACCAAGCATTAGGATTACAGGAACAAATTTCTTTGCTTAACTTTTCTGACTCTTCCGGGCATAAGAGTTTTTCCCGAGTTTTTGTGCCTTGCCCTGAATGATCTTGCTTGATGGAACAGAACCAAAGTAGAGATGAACACTGATCTTTTGACAGTAAACAGAATTTATTCATCAAGCTCTTACATGAGTAAAACAATTGTTGTGCGGGCTGACATTTTTATCGCATCAGCAAAACCTAAAAAACACAATAACTTAAGGTATGTATGAAACTTTCAGAGACGAAAAATATCTTTCTTACAAGAATTCAATTAAAAACTACTCAATGATCCATAAAAATAAAATTAAAAAAATAAGGGGATTAAACCACTGTAAAGCGAAAAGTGGCACTCAACAAAAATGGTAAAACTCGATTCTAAGAGAATAAATACTTAAATTGGTACCCACACGATTCATTTGAAAAGTAAATCCCTCTATCAACTGCACATTCAATTTAGAAAACTGTGATAAAATTATGGGAGTAATTGAACCAGCTGACACCCTACATAGAAAATCGAGGAACTACCTCCACAGGAAGTAACAAGAACTCCAGAGAAATATATGGATTGATTCATGCTGCCTTTGGTGGTAAAATTTACAGACAAAATGATAAGTAGATCCTTTGTTTCTTGTAAAAATTAGTTCTTTCTGGCTACACACAATCTTTGTCAAACCAGTTTGCAAAGGAAAAACCAGATACAAGACCAAACTATAAATTTTAGTGTCCAAAAATAAAAATGTTACATTGTTATTAAAATTAAAATTAAAGTAAACATCAATATTACAGTGCAAGTATGAAAACAAACTTTCTGTAAAACTTGATACTGACCAGCTGAAAGCTTGGTGAGTGGCCAAAAATGTATGGTAAATCCCCCTTGAAGAATAAAAAAAACAATCCTGCTTGAACATTCATCATAAGTTTTAGCAGATTAGAAATCAATTGAATTCCCATTAAGTATGAAACTGATTGTTACAATAACTTAAATTTTGCCTTCCGTAGATACACAGCCACAGCTTAAATTTAAAGTGCATACACATACAAGTAATTACTGAAATCTCCATTATTAGTACCGAAACCTAAGACTGAACCTGAGAGCACCAAAAATTAAAGCGTAATAATTCACTAAACGCACCGTCACAGAGAGTAGAAAACTAAAGTACTTAGCAATTCTACTCATACACTCATCAAGCTTTTTCTAATTTCCTGTAGTACTTAAAATTGAATTGTGTATTAATGCTAAATTCTATTGTCACACCGGTAAATGATATTGGTTCATATAAAATTATTATCAATCAACCTGACTTTAAGGATGTTGAAAGGGAGAGAAGGAGAGAAAAAAAGGTGATGTTTGCCAATTTTGGTTTGACCACTATTTCGCACATCATTCAGCTGAATTTAATAATAAGGCAAAATGGGCTAAAATTTTAGCCAAAGTGTGCATTGATAATCAATATCAAAACGATAGAAAAGACCATTGAACTTGCTGAGTATGAATGCTGATTATCATCATCTTACATTTGATTATCGCAACACTATCTCTAATAATATTACTGGTAAACGCTTCCAAACTGGACACTATTTTCTTCTTTTTTCTTAGTTCCATTCAAGGATTTAACATAAAAAATTAGAATCCAAATTAAAAATTAACATTTGATAATCTATTAATCTAATTTACCAGTATCATAAACCATTGCCTTAACTGTAGTGTTTAATGCAGTCTGATTCAAAATGTATTTTGCACGCTATTCTTTCCAATGAATAAAAAAAATAAAATAAAATGAGTGGAAATTGAGAATGAAGAACTCCAGACTGTTCTCTAAGGGAAGCCGTATCTTTAAAGTTAATTTTCTATATTTTCTTCACTTGAAATGGGTCAAAACTTAAAAAACTGACTGCAGTAATACATCTGGACCAAAATTAGGGTCGAGAGAAGCAGCTTACAATAAACCTTCCATGTACGATTTAATAAAAAATTATTGTGATGCATTTTATGTAGATGATATTTATATTACTCAGGGAAAAATAAAATCAATAAATTGAAAGATGTGGAGAGAAATGGAAGGAAATTTACAAAATCTGTGCCGATGAGGTGATTGCAGACTTTATCTTTCAGAGATCTGTTTTTAAGATCTCTTTTCATTAACTCCGTGATTTTACAGTTATTGAAGAAAAAAACCTACACCAGCTTCAAAAACAGAGGCTTCTTTTGCTGTCTGACTTTGGAGGTAAGCTAAAGTGATATGGGCAGCTATCTACTTTCAAAAAAGCCAAAAAAATTAATTAAGCCGCCTTCCCTGAGAAAATGATTTTTCGGAATACTTACGATTGATTCTCCGCTTTTTACCGATAGATTGATATGAACGATGTGGTGCATCTCCCAGAATAACTATTCATACGTATTTTAAAAACATTGCTCCTCAAAGCAGAATCAATGTAATACACACAATGCTCTGGGCTGATTTGCCAATTTACATTACACATTGAACGAGATGCTTATCTTAAACCTAGAGACTTAATCTATGGAAAATATACAGGACTGAGACCTTATACATACAGATTTAGGTAAAACACTCAAAAAGAGCTGATTTTATGGATGATTATTGAGAGATGAACTCAAGGAACACTTATGATTGACTCACGGCCTTTTCCCACTCCGATCCATTTTACTGAAACAAAAAAAAAGAAAAGAAAAAATAAAAGCAGTTGCACTAAGCATCAAATTATTATGAAGCAAATTTTTGGAAGAAATGAATGACATATCAAAGGCTAAAGTTAAAAATGCTTGTAAAAATGCATATATAGGAAGCCTCGGCTCAAATATTCCTTTTTTAGAGGAAAATCATCCAACAGTTTCTATTGAAATTTTCAGTAAATTTTGTTCATTCATTCTAAAAAAAACACACACTTGCACACAAAGGACCCCGCACACCTCTTATGGGAAGCTGCACTACGATCGATTGCCTTCTGACTTATGTTTTTCGATTCTCCTCAAGATGCTGATCAAAAGTTATAATTGCGCCAACTTTCTACAATGCACCGTTTTCGCAAAAAACCTAAGAGAAGATTCAATTATTCGGCGATAAAAAGCCAGAAAGATTCCTCATTTCAGTACTCGAGTGAACAAACCAGGGGAACTCCCGCACTGAGCGGCAGTCTTATCTCGGATTCCGCTCGCCGTTTTGCTCGACCATCCAAATCAGATTCTTGAGGAGCATGAGAACAGGAAAGTCTGAACGTCTACCGGGCGAGTGCGGGTGAGAGATAGCCTCTGAGTTGGCAGGTACAGATAAGAAGACGGACACGCGCTACGTTTTTTCCTTATTTACATCGGGCCTGTCCTCAAATGCTTTGTTCTTTTTTATTCATAGTCGCCGAATAATTGAATCTTCTCTTAGGTTTTTTGCGAAAACGGTGCATCGTAGAAAGTTGGCGCAATTATAACTTTTGATCAGCATCTTGAGGAGAATCGAAAAACATAAGTCAGAAGGCAATCGGTCGTGGTGCAGCTTCCCATAAGAGGTGTGCGGGGTCCTTTGCAAGAAAACTTTGGTATTGGTTTTCCGAGAAGAAAATAAAACAATATTAGAGATTTTTGAACACTGCAATGGAGATGCACATCTTTCACATTTAGCCAGACATAGGAAATGGAACCAGAGTTTGTAAAAATACACGGAAAAAAAAAGAATTGCTGATTCAGCAAATTCAATTGCTAAAAACAGTGAGTGCAATGTTTCAACGCAGATTTTACAACAAAAAAATGCTACTTTAACCACCCCAGTGGTTAAATTGGTTTACAATGTGGTTAAAGTAGCATTTTTTTGTTGTCAAATCTGCGTTGAAACATTGCACTCACTGTTTTTAGCAATTGAATTGCTGAATCAGCAATTCTTTTTTTTTCCGTGTAGAAGAGGTCAACATGTTAATTGCTGAAAGAATCCCTGGTCTAGGCTTTAGAGTGGCGGTGTTTTTGGTTACAGAGCATAAGAGCTCATATAAGCTTGTTGGCAGGTATAAGAGCAGTGATCAGGTGGTTCTTTCTTGCCAAACACTTTATTGGATATTCACGTTTAGTAAAAAGAAAACACAAGCTGGTTCCTACTGGATCACCACTATATCAGCTGAAGAGTGATATTTTTTTTTTATTATTTTGCTCTTGCTTCAAAGCAAAGCAACCTCTCCTTTCCGTCATCCAACACGTGTCAACACGTTTCCGTGTCATCCAAACTTGCACCAATGTTCTGCATAGTATACCACACTCTTAATACCTCTTCCAGTTTTTTTATCTCACAGTCTTGACAGGGTAGCAAAGACTGTTAGGGCATAGACTTCTCCCTGCCATATAACAACACTGAAACCTCCCTTCTACAGCTAGCCAGAGATCTGCCTGATAATTTTCAACAACTTACTCTTAAGTATCCACCAAAATGGTAGAGGAAAAGAAAAAAATTTAAGTTTTCAGAGTCAAACTTGTATATTAAAGAATTGAATCCTTGACGGTGCGATGTAAAGAATCAAAACCGGCAGAGTTTTTCACTTCAATAACACTCAAGATTTAAACACTGTTCTTTCGAGTCCCCATGAGAGAATTATGAAAAGATGATAGAATATATTACTTCAGAACCCAATAAATCAAGATTCTCCTGTATTAAGTAGAAGTTCAACACACATTGAACGTCCATTAGAAGAGCTGATGTACTTGACAAGAACCAAGGGTGCAGTTGAACCCAACTTTATGACAAAATTTGAAAAAGAAACCTATGCCTTGCTATTCTCCTCTGTACTTTATTTTATGTACAATTTGAGGATTTGGAATTTCATACTGCCATCTCCTGCACAAATAAAGTATCTCGATTACACTGTATCAGTATTATTTACCGGTATTTTATTCTTTTACAGGAGCATTGCCATATTTTGTTTAAAATTTCTGATGATTTTTCCTTAAAGGACCCTACAACAAAACGGCCAAATCGGCCTAAACACGGAATCGTACGATTTTCTCAGGGATGATAGAGGGTCTTCCCAGACACTCAAAACTGGTCATATTTTTTGCCTAACCCCCAGGGAAAAGGGGGGAGAGGGGGTCAAAGTCAAAACCTTTAAATTAGCATAACTTCTCAACGGTTTGTCGTGGAAAGATGATCTTGGTGTCAAAATTTCCAGAAAAATGAGAGCTTTCAGAATATATATATGAAATTAATTAAATTTTAAAATTTGACCCACTTTTGGGGCATTTTACAAGGTCCCCCTTTCGTAAATTTTCGTTTTTTGAGATTTTCAATTGTTCGGTTCGCACGGATCAAAACAAAAACAATTTCAAATGAAAGTAGAGCGTTTAAGCTTTAAAACAAGCCCAAGATGATCTTGGGGAAACGATTAGAAGCGGAGTTATGAGTCTTCAAAGTTGACGCGGCGCGAGGGAACCTTGTATGTTCCGAGTCTCAAGGTCACCTGCGCGCCCCGGATTGCCTGCAGGTTGCAAGTTTTGTGTTTTTATGCTTCTGTAGGTCATTTTTAATGTAAATCATTCAATGAAGATAGAATAATCGAAATTTTTTAATTTTACGGGAGGAGCGAGAGGGGGCTTAGAGTATCAACCATTATGTCCATCATACCTCATTAAACATTTGCTGACGATGAAGATTCTGCTCTTATAATTTAGAAGAAACCATGGACCCTCGGTTCAAATATACATATGCTCCATACAGAACTGAACCATTTAGAAATTATAACCCA